GAAATAGAAAATATAAACAGACCAATCACAAGCACTGATATTGAGACTGTGTATAAAAATCTTCCAAGAAACAAAAGCACAGGACCAGATGGCTTCACAGGCGAATTCTATCAAACGTTTAAAGAAGAGCTAACACCTATCCTTCTCAAACTCTTCCAAAATATAGCAGAGGGAGGAACATTCCCAAACGCATTCTACAAGGCTACCATCACCCTGATACCAAAACCAGACAAAGATGTCACAAAGAAAGAGTACTACAAGCCAATATCATTGATGAACATAGATGCAAAAATCCTCAACAAAATACTAGCAAACAGAATCCAACAGCACATTAAAACGATCATACACCATGATCAAGTCGGGTTTATCCCTAGAATGCAAGGATTCTTCAATATATGCAAATCAATCAATGTGATGCACCATATTAACAAACTGAAGGATAAAAACCATCTCAATAGATGCAGAAAATGCTTTCGACAAAATTCAATACCCATTTATGATGAAAACCCTCCAGAAAGTAGGCATAGAGGGAGACTACCTCAACATAATAAAGGCCATAAATCAAAAACCCACAGCCAACATCGTTCTCAATGGTGAAAAACTGAAACCATTTCCACTAAGATCAGGAACAAGACAAGGCTGCCCACTCTCACCACTCTTATTCAACATAGTTTTGGAAGTTTTAGCCACGGCAATCAGAAGAAAAAGGAATAAAAGGAATCCAAAACAGAAAAGAAGAAGTAAAGCTGTCACTGTTTGCAGATGACATGATAGTATACATAGATAATCCTAAAGATTCTACCAGAAAACTACTAGAGCTAATCAATGAATTTGGTAAAGTAGCAGGATACAAAATTAATGCACAGAAATCTCTGGCATTCCTATACACTAATGATCAAAAAACTGAAAGAGATATTAAGGAAACACTGTATTTACCATTGCAACAAAAAGAATAAAATACCTAGGAATAAACCTACCTAAGGAGACAAAAGACTTGTATGCAGAAAACTATAAGACACTGATGAAAGAAATTAAAGATGATACAAACAGATGGAGAGATATACCATGTTCTTTGATTGGAAGAATCAACTTTGTGAAAATTTCTATATGACCCAAAGCAATCTACACATTCAGTGCAATCCCTATCAAACTACCAATGGCATTTTTCACAGAACTGGAACAAAAAAATTTCACAATTTGTATGGAAACACAAAAGACCCCAAGTAGCCAAAGCAATCTTGAGAAAGAAAAACGGAGCTGGAGGAATCAGGCTCCCTGACTTCAGACTATACTACAAAGCACAGTAATCAAGACAGTATGGTACTGGCACAGAAACAGAAATATAGATCAATGGAACAGGATAGAAAGCCCAGAGATAAACCCACGAACACATGGTCACCTTATCTTTGATAAAGGAGGCAAGAATATCCAATGGAGAAAAGACAGCCTCTTCAATAAGTGGTTTTGGGAAAATTGGACATCTACATGTAAAAGAATGAAATTAGAACACTCCCGAACACCATACACAAAAATAAGCTCAAAATGGATTAAAGACCTAAATGTCAGGCGAGACACTATCAAACTCTTAGAGGAAAACATAGGCAGAACACTCTATGACATAAATCACAGCATGATCCTTTTTGACCCACCTCCTAGAGAAATGGAAATAAAAACAAAAATAAACAAATGGGACCTCATGAAACTAAAAGGTTTTGCACAGCAAACCATAAACAAGATGAAAAGACAACCCTCAGAATGGGAGAAAATATTTGCAAATGAAGCAACTGACAAAGGATTAATCTCCAAGATTTACAAGCAGCTCATGCAGCTCAAGATCAAATAAACAAACAACCCAATCCAAAAATGGGCAGAAGACCTAAACAGACATTTCTCCAAAGAAGATATACAGATTGCCAACAAACACATGAAAGAATGCTCAACTCCACTAATTAACAGAGAAATGCAAATCAAAACTACAATGAGTTATCACCTCACACCAGTCAGAATGGCCATCATCAGAAAATCTACGAACAATAAAATGCTGGAGAGGGTGTGGAGAAAAGGGAACCCTCTTGCACTGTTGGTGGGAATTGATACAGTCACTATGGAGAACAGTATGGAGGTTCCTTAAAAAACTAAAAATAGAACTACCATGCGACCCAGCAATCCCACTACTGGGCATATACCCTGAGAAAACCATAATTCAAAAAGAGACATGTACCACAATGTTCACTGCAGCTCTATTTGCAACAGCCAGGACATGGAAGCAACCTAAGTGTCCATCGACAGATGAATGGATAAAGAAGATGTGGCACATATACACAATGAAATATTACTCAGCCATAAAATAAACGAAATTGAGTTATTTGTATTGAGGTGGATGGACCTAGAGTCTGTCATATAGAGTGAAGTAAGTCAGAAAGAGAAAAACAAATACTGTATGCTAATACATATATATGGAATCTTAAAAAAAAAAAGAAGGTTCTGAAGAACCTAGGGGCAGGACAGGAATAAAGACGCAGATGTAGAGAATGGACTTGAGGACACAGGGAGGGGGAACGGTAAGCTGGGACAAAGTGAGAGAGTGGCACGGACATATATACACTACCGAATGGAAAATAGATAGCTGGTGGGAAGCAGCCGCATAGCACAGGGAGATCAGCTCGGTGCTTTGTGTCCACCCAGAGGGGTGGGTTAGCGAGGGTGGGAGGGAGATGCAGGAAGGAGGAGATATGGGGATACAGGTACATTTATAGCTGATTCACTTTGTTATAGAGCAGAAACTAACACACCATTGTAAAGCAATTATACTCCAATAAAGATATTAAAAAATAAAATTTCTGTGTATTCTTACACATTCATCATCAAAAAAAGAAAATTGCTTTATAGTTCTTTGAAAAGGAAAAAAAAAAAACACCTTAATTTTGAAAATGAGTTTCAGAGGCCAAGTATGAAGAAGACAGAGTGTGAGTCACGTATGGAGAGAGAAAAAACTGCTCTTGCAAGAACCCACTCGTAAAATGTTAATATATGCATAAGAAAATTGTGTTCCTTAATCTCTGAAGAAACACTTATCACTAAGAACCCTTTAATTCTTTTCCTGTGCTTGATTTATTAGCTTATGAAATTATGTTAATAACCTTCATGTTAATGGTTTGGGGACTCAAATGACCTGATTTTAATAATGAAGTAATTTATGCAATAAATGCAATCAGCATCTATGAATCTCACTTAACACAACGGTATTGGTGATTAGCCAATGCTAAAACCAGTGATTGTCGGCGTGGGGCAATGCATGTGCTTCTGCAGAGAAAACAGATCTCGCTGATGGGTGATAGGCACAGAGGTAGGGGCAACTCAGGGCACGTGATGTGAGCTGCAGCTCTTAGCTGCAAAAGCTCTGGTAGCGAGGTTGAGCATGAATCCAAACTTAGTTTATGAACTGTAAAATGAGACTGCTACTTCACTAACTAGAGTAAATCTACATAGGACGTGTATCCATGACAAGGAACATTTGTATGTTTGTTGGAGTGGAGTGATCTGCTGGAAGGAAACTGGGGAGCCCAGAAAAGAGCAGATGAGGGAATAGCCAACAGCTTCCTGGGAGAGAGCAGAGTGGCAGTGGGTGGAAGGCCTCCCGGGAGGTCGAGGGGACACCTAGGAGGAACGGAGGGTTCCCAGTCCTGTCATCAGAAAATCCACGTCTTAGAATAACCTGGGCGCTAGTGTTCGTCAACTTTGGCTTTTGAGAGTATTATGGTGAATTATCCTTTTTCCTTTGCTTTGTTTTGTTATTTGACTTTTTTCCATTCCCTTCAGATCTAAAGCATAGAAACAACTAATTTACACCCTGATACATTCATCTAAGTGCAAAGGGCCACTTTAACCATGCTGGATAGATGGGATTTTTCTCCTTTCTTTCTTCAGCGAATCCCCAACAAACAAGTTTCCATTTCTTTCTCTTATGATTTAAATAGTCCTCTTAAATGTTCTTTCTCCCTCCCAAGTAAAATCTCCTAAGCCGTTGTCTGACTTCCTAGAAATAAAGACAGGTGTGGTCATCGCCTCCTCCTACTGGCTCTGCAAAACCCCAGCCAGGTGAGAGGAGGGCAAGGCTGTTGTGTAAGCCTGTGTTTCCAGCTGGGTGCAGACACACAGTGCGAACCTTCCAGAACCCTTGATCTTCACCCCGAATAGCGACATTCGCAAGATATTTTTTAAAATGTTCAAAAAGACCGTTGGGGTACGTGATAGAATGTTACACCTCCCCCGAAGAAAGTTTTACGTCAAATATGCTTTTGGCACAATGTTAAGTGAAAACAAAAAGCAAAATATTAAATTAGCTAAACTCTAAACTGTGAGGTTGCAAAGATAGCACTGGCTTGGAAATCAGACTCCCTAGGTTCCTAACTCGGCTTCCATTGTCACTGCTTGTGAAATTGGTCAAGGTACTTGACTCTTTAAGAGAGACATATTTATTTCTATTTTTCTATATTTGAATGAATGGGCATTAATTTTATGACAAAATCATAAAGCACATAATTTTGGAAAATATATACAGACTACACCTTGTAAGAAGATAAATCTTCAGTAGAATTTTAGTTCTTCATCTCAGTTGTAAATTGGCATTTTATTGACGATGTTGAAAATGAGGGTCATCCAAACTCTCGTGTCTCATACGAAATCTAACCCAGACTCTACTCTCTGTTTTGGATCTGCATAAAGGTGATCACAATTTTACCATCCCAGAAAGCATGAAGTAAGATGCCTTTCAGAGGCTTCACGTGCAATCTGCAGTCGGAGCCGCTCTACATAATTCCATAATTTAGAAAATTACAAGTGATAATAATACCGTGCTCATTGCAGCACCTAAGTCCTCAAATCTCTACTCACAGGTTGTCAAGCCAAGTACCATGCACTGCATTAATCCTCACCACTGAAAAGCAACCAGAAGTGTTGCCCCATTTCACAAATAAAAATATCTGCTGAGAGACCTTGTACCTGCTTTGCCCGTGTCTTCAAGCACAAAATCTGGAATCTTGGTCCACTGTAGTAATCACCATACGGTCATGGCTTCATCCATCAGCATTCTCATTAAATACGGGCTTAACCTATGATATCACAAATAAATTAATTAATAAAATTGCAAGGACACCTTCTCTTTGGAGAAGAGATAACTCTTAAAGTTATTTAATCCATCTCTCTGCACGCAAAATTTTGAGGAATTAATTTTTTCTGTAGCCAGGAAACATTGTAAAAAGAAAGAAACCATACCTTTTTCCTAATATCAATGTAGAAAATAGAGATCCAAGCTAAGCCTTCCTTTGGTTCTAAGGAGTGGGCTCCAAGATGAGTACTTTTTTTTTTTTTTTTGCGGTATGCGGGCCTCTCACTGTTGTGGCCTCTCCCGATGCGGAGCACAGACTCCAGACGCGCAGGCTCAGTGGCCATGGCTCATGGGCCTAGTCGCTCCATGGCATGTGGGATCTTCCCAGACCGGGGCACGAACCCGTGTCCCCTGAATCGGCAGGCAGACTCTCAACCACTGCGCCACCAGGGAAGCCCCAAGATGAGTACTTTGGATGGAATTCCATCCTACTGAGTTTTGATGTAATTCCACGGCTTTTAATATTGTTTCTAAACTCTTACCACTGTTACTTTAGGTGCCTTTCCCCCTCACCTGTTTGAGCTCTCAAACTCACAAAGACACTTTCTTGCACTTTGGTAGCAACATCGTACCTTGCAAGGCAGGAAGAAAAAAGTGATGGGTGTAGAAGTGGATGGGTTGGAAGTGAGCCTCGTCTCTCCCACTCTGCTTCCAGTCTCTTCTCTCTTTTGCCTCACGGGTACCCTCCACACTTTGAGGAACATTGACCAGATTATAGCCACTTCAAACATCTTGAGAGACTATTCAAAATGATCCCTTGGGTGGAAAAAAACAAAGGCTCTTTCCAATGCTGCGGTATTGAGAGATCTATCATGTTGGGAGACGCTGCGCTTCCTGTTGCGCTGAGGAGTGTAGTCACCAACTCATCCCATTCTTCTGAGAGTAACTCTGCTCCTGGTAACCTGGGAGTTTCTCACCTTCTGACTCCATGGTTTAAAACATGTTCTTTCTTCTCTGCTCTGAACTGAAGCATTTCTTTTACCAGTCACAGCTGCTGTGTAATTTAAACAGGCCATAATGTCAAAGGAAATAAAATGAATTAAAACAAGAAAAATCAGTTCTTTAAATTTTAGCTCCATCTTTTTTAAAAAGGAAAATATCAACCTTGATCCCATTCAGGCCAGGAAGGTAACACAAAGTCCCTCTGAACACGTGCTTCTCTGGCTTTCTCCACATCTTACTGTACTCTTTTTGGCGGTGCAAAAACTCTGACTTGTTTTGTATTTAAACTGACTTAAAATGAACGGGTAACAAAAAAGAGACTTCCTCTTGCTAACAAAACTGTTCCTGGGATACATGAATATATTTTTACACCCGTGGCCAGAAATAGATTATTTTTAAAATCCCAGTGTCTTTAAATAGCTTAGAACCACAGTACTGTGGTTGAAAAGGTGGATTCTGGAGCCAGGATAACTTGAATATGAATCCTGCCTCTTTTGTAAGAGCTGGGTGACCTGGGCAATGATCTAACTCTTCAGCTCGCTCTTCTCATCTTTGAAATGGAGACACTAATCATACCTACCCCATTTTTTTCTTTTTGGTGGTGCCGCATGGCATGTGGGATCTTAGTTCCCTGACCAGGGATTGAACCCGTGCCCCCAGCATTGGAAGTGCAGAGTCTTAACCACTGGACCACCAGGGAAGTCCCATACCTACCACTTTTGATTGTAGTGCAGACCAACTGAATTTATACATGTAAAGCACTTAGAACTATGTCTGGCATAGAGTAGACGTTCAACAACCGTTATCTATTATTTGTGTAATAAGTATGCACCACACCCAGTGCCATTAATAAAAAAGGCCATTCAGCCACTGTGACTCTAGAACAATTTCTGGGAATCTCCAAGTAGGATCAGGAACAAAGAAACTGTTTTGCCTCTCACATCCTCTCTAAAATACTTTTCTCTTTACTATTCAAAAATTCTTTTGATTCAGCTCAATCTTGAAAAGATACTTATCAAGATAATAGTTCAAGGGAGTAGGTGACTTAGTTATGATAACTGGAGTTAGCCAGATAAGCATTTGACTCTTACTGTTTAGTACCCTTAACAACTTTGGTTTAAGCCCTACATAATCAAAAACAATCAAAGCCAGTGGCTCTGTCAGCTTCTCCACAGAAACAAAAAGTCTTCAGAGGCCAAAGGAATTTAAGATATTTATCTTTTCCCTGTAAGAATTTCTCATCTCACATATAAACTACAGATTTCTGTCACGGCATCAAGCTTTAGCGAAATTAAGATATGGCTTGTGGAAGGAATTAAAAATTATTCACCCAAAGCAGTTTTGCAATGTTTCATGTGGGGGGGGGGCGGTAAGGGTGGGGAACAGTCATTGTTTCTCCTACTTCTACCCCATCAAAGATTATCCTCCAATCTGACATTTCTTAATCTGAGTTTATTTTCCAGGTCATTAATTTGATTTCTCAATGTTTTGCAGCCTTTAAATTTCTCAGTTGAAACAGCAACATCAATCATCATTTTCACGTCTTCCTTTTTTTCCCTTTTCTCCTGCCATCTTGACTTGCTTGCTTTGTTTCATCCTTTTTCCACCATTATTTCTGAATCCTTTTTCCATCACAATTTTTGACCTTTCTTTGCATCAACCCAAGCTAATTCAACTTAATAAATCAATTTTGAGTCTCCAAAGGGAGACAAATGAAATAGTGGGCAGGCCTATGTCCTGGATTGTGGAAACCAGAAGAATGACAACATGGAAGCATATGTTGATCTCTGCAGAATTTTTCCTGAAACACAACAAACTGGCTACCAACCAAACAGATAACATTACAAATGGAAAGCAGAAGACCTTCTAAGTGCATAATTCCATCAACAGATAGCTGCCTATCAACCCAAATTCTCTTTTAGCTGTCTTCAGGGCTATAGAGCTGAACCATGGGGATGTTTCTCTCACCACTGACCATGCTCTGGTCTGGTTATAAATATAGAGGGCTTCTCTTTACATCTATTTTAGACAAATCAGATCTCCCAGAAAACTGAAATCTCTTAGGTGAACTAGGATGTAAATTCAGAAGAAAGAAAAATAAGAGGAGCGAAATTCCAGGAACTTAACTGACTCATTATCTGAAACGTAAGTTAAATTAGTTCAAGTGAATATACTTGAGTCCTAATATTGCAATTTAATAGTTTTACTGCCCAGAGGCACAAGCTGAGGGTATATGTGCACATTTGTTCAATATGTTTTGGTACATGTAAAACTCTGGCCACCTAGCCAAAGGGTAGCCTTATTGGGATTTTCTCTGGACACCCTCAACTCTGAAATTGTCCACAACTCTCTGCTATTCTTATTGTCTGGGGTCAGGGCAGCCCTGAGTATCTGACACTCACCTGGAGGTTTGTTGACTGTTCCTCGAAAACCATTCCAAAGCATTTCCATGGCTCCAGAACAGAACAGCTGCTTTCCTCTGCTATACATCCTGATGTCTGATCCTCATCAGCATTCTTCAGCCATTCAATAGAACCCTCATAAGCATTGCTGTCATGTCTTTAGGCATTTCGAGCTTGAGCTGATGAGGTGTATATGAAGTGTCTGGGTAGAGACAGAAAGGTGAATTAAGTTACAAAACATCTTTGCAAGGTTTTTGTTTGTATGCTTGTTTAATATACAATGCATTAAAAAAAATTCTTTAGATGGTTAGGTTTCCAAGCCTGCCTCTAAAAATTTATTTAAATGTTAAGGTAGTTGAATTGGAGTATTAAAATCATTTCCCATTATTTCTTTAGGAAAAACAATGAAATAGTCCTAACGGGGATACTGGAAGCAGGGTGAGAACTCTGTTTTTGCTACAGTCCTAGTCTTCAGAAGTGAATTTCCTTTAAATTTCTTTCCTCCTTTTCCTCTCAGGGACAAATGAATTTTCTCTTCCCTTTTCCTTTTTTCCTTCTTTTTCAGGAAGCGAGAGTGGATTTCTTCTTCCATTTTACGCCTCTCCAAACAATAACAGGACCCTCGGGGGTCCTGCCCAGCAGCCAGGACAGTAAATCCAATAGTGGACAGTGACAACAAGGCTCAAGAGAGAATCTTCCTATCGCCCTTTCCTTAACAAGGAATGTCCCATGTCAGCTGTGTAGTCCTTGGGGACCACAGGTAATAAAGAATAGTCATGGCAGGGGCTTCCCTGGTGGTCCAATGGTTAAGAATCCATCTTGCAATGCAGGGGACGCCGGTTCGATCCCTGGTCTGGGAACTAGGATCCCACATGCCGCGGGGCAACTTAGTCCATGTGCCACATCTAGAGAGCCCACATGCTGTAACTACAGAGCCCACGTGCTCTGGACAGTGCATGCTGCAACTAGAGAAGCTCTGCCACTGCAACGAAGAGCCCGCGCACTGCAATGAAAGATCCCGCTTGCCGCGACTAAGACCCAACGCAGCCAATAATTAATTAATTAATTAAAAAACCCCAACTCCATGGCAAAACTAAAGAGACAATAAAAGAACAGTGGTTACCAGGGGTTTGGAGAGAGAGAGATGAACAGACAGAGCACAGAGGAGTTTTAGGGCAGTGAAAATACTCTGTATGATACTATCGTGGTGGACACACGTCATTATACTTTTGTTCAAACCCACAGAATGTACAACACCAAGAGTGAAGCCTGAGGTAAAGGATGGACTCTGGGTGATTATGATGTATCCATGTAGGTTCATCGTTTGTAAGAACTGCATCACTCTGGTGGGGGAATGTTGCTAATGGGCAGGCTATGCATGTGTGAGGACAGGAGGTATATGGGAAATCTCTGTACCTCCATCTCAATTTTGCTGTGAACTTTAAATTGCTTTTAAAAAGACACGGAAGTCTTAATGTTTTAAAAGGGGGAAAAGGAGGGAAAAGAAATACAGTAGAGCAATTCTGAAAAGAAAAAAAACCCCACCAACAACAGCTTAGCACTTTCAAAACATACCCCCACCCATCATCACACTTAATGCTCACGTTAACCTTGCAGGGTAGGTGTGATTTCCACCCCCATCTTACAGAGAAGGTAACAAGCTCTGAGAGGGTAAGTTAAACAAGGTCACTTGGTTCGTAAGTGGTAGCTAAATTCTTTTCACAATATCAAAGACAATTGTCTTTAACGTGCAGTTGTCATCAATTATCCTTCAAGAAAGCTGAATGTAATTGTCTTAGTAGCACAAGTAGAGAGACACAGTATAAATTTCTTTTAACTGTTAATAATCAACTTGCCTTTGTATGTTTAAGGCAAAGTGACTGAAATTTAAGAAGTATTTGTCCTTTTATTTTTTTAAGCACCCTGTATTTTAAAGCTTATTATTCTGTTTTATTCATTTAAATGTTAAAGGCTTGAAAAATTGAAAAGCATACCTATCAGTGTATAAAATAAGGATTTATTTCGGAAACCTAAGAATGAGCATTAGGAATTTTATCAACATAATTTATTCCATTAATAAATTAAGGGGAAAATATAGGACTATACCAATATATGACAAAAGAGTAATTGATATAATTCAGTAAGCATTCATGATGAAATCTCTAAGTAAAATAAAAATTGAAAAATTTAAAACAAGATAGAATATTTATTGGAAACTAACAATGAAATACTAAAGAAATTTCTGTTAAAATCAGAAATAAGATAGAGCTGTCCATATTGCCGCTATTCTTCAGAATGTGTTTTGGAGGCAGCTAAAATTTGTTGGGGCGTGGCCAGAGAAAGGGGTAGCTACACAGAGCTGGGGCCCAAGAAAACTGGATGGCCACTCCCTCAGATCCTGGGCCAAGAACTGAGAAGCACATGTACAAAGCCTGACTCTGTGAGTTCTGCTGCTGGGAAGCTGAGAGCTGAACAGAGATATTAGCGAGCACACAGAGTTTGGAGAATCTGGGATTGTGGCCCAGCCAGAGTGGACACTCCTCACTGAAAACATCAGGCATCCAATTGAGACCCTAGAAAAGCCATATCTTAGTGAAATTTATGTCCTAGAATAAAAGCCATTCCCTAGGACTTAGGGCAAAAATAGTAATAGACTATTCTAAGAAACCTTAAAACAAAGTCTGACTAGATCAAGATCTACCAATTATGTCACTATTCAATACCACCAAAACAAAACTTATCACCCTTTAAAGGGAGACAACATAATCACTTTTCCCTATAATGTATCATCTACAATGTCTAGCATGCAATAAAAAATTATTAAACCTGCAAAGAATCAAGGAGAAAAAATGGAAACAGATCTTGAAAGACCCAGATGTTAGGATTAGTATATGAGGATTTTAAAACACCTATTATAAATATCCTTAAGGATATGAAATAAAGCATGAATAACTATGATGTAAGAGATGGGGAATCTTAGTCAATATATAAAAGCAATAAAAAAGAGCCAATGGATATTAAGCTGAAAATATAAAATCTTAAATAAAAGATCGCCTGGATAAGCAATTTACTATTAAGTAAATTGGACACTACAGAAGAAAGCATCAGTGACCTTGAAGACAGCTCAATAGAAATTTTCCAAATTGCTGAACATGAAAAAAAAATTTTTGAAATAAAAGCAAAGCCTCAGTGACTTGTGGGACAATATAAAATGATCTAACACAGTGTTAAGTGGAGATGAAGGAGAGGAGAGAGAATAGAAAAAAATATTTAAGCAATAGTATCTGAGAATTTTCCAAATTTGATGAAAAACATTAAGAAAATCATACCTCAGCATATCACAAAGTACTAAAAATCAAAGATAAATTATAAAGCATTCAGAGGAAAAGAAAAACACTGTGTGTCAGGGGACAAAGATAAGAATTATGAATGACTACTACTCACAGAAAACAATGAAGGTCAGAAAACAATCTAATGGTATGTATAAAACACAGAGAGAAAACTGTCAACCTAGAATTCAACAGCCAGTGAAAATATCCTTCAATAAATGAGGTTAAAAAAATTTTTTTTGGATAAAAGAAAGCTAAGAGAATTCATAACAAGCAGATCCTCACTTCAGAAAATTCTTAAAGGAAGTTCTTCAGACTGAAGAGAAATGACAACAGATGGAAACTCAGTTATACAGAGAGAGGTCACTACCACCACTCTTAGTAAATACGTGGGTACATTTTGAAACACGTGCTTTCTTATGTTTTAAATTTCTTGAAAACAAAATTGATCATTTAAATTAACTATAATAACATTTTGTTGTGGATTTTTATAACGTAAATGGAAGCAAAATATATGACAATTCATGAAGAATGGAGTGGCAGCATATGGAGTGACACTACTGCAAGGTTCTCATGTTTTACATGAAGTGGTAGTGGACTATGACAAATTAAGAATGCATAATAAAATCCCTAGAGCAACAGTTTAAAAAAAAAAATACAAAGAGGAATACCTAAAAAGTCAATAGACGTTCAACAAATGTTGCGTCACAATTGGGTCTTCATATGCAAAAGTTAACTTCTGTCCATACAAAAATTAACTCAAAGTGGGTCACAGATCTAAATATAAAACCAAACTCTAAAATGTATAGAAGAATACATAGGAGAAAACCTCTGTGACCCTGGGTAAGGCAAAGATTTCTTAGATACAACAACAAAAGCAAGATCCCTAAAAAGACAAATTGATAAATTAGACATAATCAGCAATAGAAACTTCTGCCATTTATGAAAAGATAATGAAGAAGATGAAAAGACCAGCTACAAACTGGGAGAAATATTTGCAAACAATGTCCGATAAAAGATTTGTATCCAGAAAATATAAAGAACTCTCAAAATTCAATAACAAGAAAATAACCCAATTTTTAAAAATGGTCAAAAGATTTGAACACATGCTTCGCAAAAGAAAATAAGCAAATTTTAAAAAAATGTTCAACCTTCATCATTAGGGAAATGCACATTAAAACCACAATGAGGGCTTCCCTGGTGGTGCAGTAGTTGAGAGTCCGCTTGCCATTGCAGGGGACATGGGTTCGTGCCCCGGTCCGGGAGGATCCCGCATGGTGCGGAGCGGCTGGGCCCGTGAGCCATGGCCGCTGAGCCTGCGCGTCCGGAGCCTGCGCTCCGCAACGGGAGAGGCCACAACAGTGAGAGGCCTGCGTACCAAAAAAAAAAAAACCACAACGAGATGCCACAAATGTCTATTAGAATGGCTAAAATTATAATGACCATATCAGTGTTGGTGAAGATGTAGAGTAAATGAAACATTCCTACACTGATGATGGCAATATAAAATGATGCAACCACGGGAAAACAGTTTGACAGTTTTTTAAACATATACCTGTTGTAGGATTCAGCCATTCTACTACCAGATATTAACCCAAGAACAAAGAAAGCGTGTGTCAATACAAAGACTTGCACACAAATGTTCATAGAAATTCTATTTGTAATGGCCCAAAACAACACAATCCGAATGTTCATCAGTAGATGAATGGATAAACAAATGGAATACTTCTCAGTAATAGAAAGTAACGAACTATTGATATACTCAGGTATAAGGATGAACCAAAATTCATTATGCTGATGAAAGAAGCCAGACAAAAATGAGTATATAGAGTATGATTCCATTTGTATGCAATTCTAAA